CTCGATCCCAGGACCCTGGGATCATGACCTGAGCCGAAGGCAGACGCTTAACGACTGAGCCACCCAGGCGCCCCAGTACTTCATTCTTTCTAATTGCTGAGTAATATCCCATTGTTTGGATATACCACATTTTGTTTGTCCATTCATCAGTTGATGGACATTTGGGTTGTTTCAGTTTTTTAGCTATTATAAATAATGGTGCTATAAACATTTGTATACACATTTTTGTGTGTGTGTGTTTTTTTAAGATTTTATTTATTTATTTGAAAAAGAGAGAGACAGAGCACAACCAGAGGGAGAGGGAGAAGCAGACTCCCTGCTGAGCAGGGAGCCTGACATGGGGCTTGATCCCATATTAAGCGTCTGAGCCAAAGGCAGACGCTTAACCAACTGAGCCACTCAGGCGCCCCCTGTATACACATTTTTATGTAGACATAGGTTTTCATTACTTAGACCTATTATGTAGACATAGGTTTCATCTAGGATATATACCTAGGAGTGGAATTGCTGGGTCATATGGTAACTTTGTTTCAAAGTGGCTATGCCATTTTACATTCCCACCAGCAGTATATGAGGGCTCCAATTTCTCCACATCCTTGTTTTTATTCACCATCATCTGCCTTTTTTATAGCAACATTTGTTTTTATAAATGATACTGATATTTTGTAATATATTTAGAACATTAAAATTTTGAAATATATTGTTTACTTTATGAATTCTAAACTCTTTTAAAAAAACATTGATATTTATACATATTTCAGTGTTAAAGTTAAAACCCCAAGCTATCATTTTTGCACTGCTTATTTCAATAAATAATTACATTTTCTTACAAAACTTCACATGATACATTATCTTTAAAGCTCAGAATTAGGTAAAACTTTTTCTCTACTTGTTTCTTCCTTCTACAAAACAAATGAGAGCTGTATAATTCATTCCTTCTTTGTGATGATTGCTAGAAAGCTTAAAAGCTAGAGCTTTTCTTAGTTGGGAATTCTTACAAAACATTAACTTTTATCTGTTATCTTATGACCATTGTTTTTATACCTCTACATTTAGTAAAAGCTAACACAATCCTTGGGGCGCCTGGGTGGCTCAGTCGTTAAGCGCCTGCCTTCGGCTCAGGTCATGATCCCAGGGTCCTGGGATCGAGCCCCCCATCACATCGGGCTCCCTGCTCCGCGGGAAGCCTGCTTCTCCCTCTGCCACTCCCCCTGCTTGTGTTCCCTCTCTCACTGTGTCTCTCTCTGTCAAATAAATAAATAAAATCCTTAAAAAAAAAAAAAGCTAACAATCCTTTTTAGAAATAGGGTTTAAAAAGTAAACAAATAAACACGTAGTATCCTTGATCTGCACAGAAATTTATTCCCAATTCTATAAATGATGAAAGTGAGGCAATGAAAAGTGACTTACTCAATGTCAGAAGCTTAAAAGTGGCAAAGCTAGTGGTAAAACCTAGAGAGTCCCCCGTATCAGTTCTTTTTTTTTTTTTTTTTTTTTAAAGATTTTATTTATTTATTTGAGAGAGAGAATGAGAGAGAGAGCATATGAGAGGGGGGAGGGTCAGAGGGAGAAGCAGACCCCCCGCTGAGCAAGGAGCCTGATATGGGACTCGATCCCGGGACTCCAGGATCACGACCTGAGCCGAAGGCAGTCGCTTAACCAACTGAGCCACCCAGGCGCCCCCCCGTATCAGTTCTTTATGCTACCCTATCCCTCTGTTTAAGACAGGCCTTTTCTGTCATTGTAAAGTATCCCAGAGTAGCTCCTGCAGAGCTAATACTTAAACATGACAGAGTCCCCATAGTAAGATATTCAACTAATACCCCATCCTAGTGATGGAAATAAATTTAAATGTTCCACATCCAATCCTCACAATGGCTTGCTCTGTATGATAGAAATAAATTTTTCAGTGATGACTCTGTGATTATAAATATTATGAAAATTTAAGTCATCAGTTTGCTGCTAATGCTAAGAAAGACTGTATAAGATTTAAAAATCTAATATTTGTTTAATAATATGGGTCACGGTGTCTGATCTCCATAGTTAGCTTAAGAACAGGGGAGATAGGGGCGCCTGTGTGGCTCAGTTGGTTAAGTGTCTACCTTCAGCTCAGGTCATGATCCTAGAGTCCCAGGATCAAGCCCCGCATTGGGTACCCTGCTCAGCGAGTGATCTGCTTCTCCCTCTGTCCCTCACCCCTGTCTCACTCTCTCTCTCAAATAAATAAATAAAATCTTAAAAAAAAAAAAGAACAGGGGAGATATTTCCAAATAGTTCCCATTTGGAATAATATATAGAAAGTTATTTTATGTTTTTCTGTATACTTTATAAAGCCACATACAAGAATTATTTGTCTATATGAAATTTATGAATTCTTCCTTAGAAAAAGAAAGTGAATATCTATAAAAGTTATTATAGAAATGCATTTAGTATTCATTACTGTTGATACTGAATAGAAGTTAAGTTTTAGTTCCAGATATAAGGTGAGAACACCATTAGCTGGAAACTAAGTTAGCTGTGAGTTATTTCTGGAAATATAAAGTCCAATAATTTTACTTATTAAGTTGGGCAAATAAATCATAGGTATGTTCCAAACCTAGATAACAGTTACAAAACCTAAACATAAATAGAAAAATTCAATAAATTATATCAAACCCTTCTCCTCTCCTCACTCTGTCTCCACATTGAGACTTAAGTATTGTGAACACTGCAATGTTTGGTCTAAAGAATTAGGCCATCACTATGAATTAAGAAACATCATAAAATGATTTAAATCACTATGTGCTAAGTAGTAGGACCTTGTAGTTGAATAAATATTGGTTTTCTAGCAAAGTACAAACCTTAGAAGTTATATCATTTGCCTCCATCATTTTATAGATGTGGGAAATAAAGATGAGATGAAGGAACCTGCCCAAGACCTCCTAAGTTCATGGCAGGGTAGAAATTATAACCAAGCTGATTACTGATTGAAGGCTATTTCCATAACACCATGATAGTTCAAATCAAAATCCATCTGATTTGTAGCTTTGTTTAAACCAGGTTTAAAAGACCTGAACATGATATGGCCTATAAGAGCAAAATGTTTTGACGAATTCATTTTTAGCTGACAGATAACAGCTGACAGAAACCAAATATAATAGCACTGTTACTATCAACACAGATTATGGATATATTATTAAAAGTAAGTGTAATAATGCCAACCTTCAGGCTTCCTAGGATATTTTTTAAATCATAAGCTATGCTATTAGATATTTTAGGATCACTTAAAAAATTACTTTCATACAGACAAAGGAACAAACTTCTGGAAGAGGAGCTAAAGAGAAGTTTGATAGCTCTTTTTGTCTATTTCATTCCCTGAAAAATGTGTTCAACATTAACTTCACAAGTTGAATATTATAGATGAAAAGAGGGAAGAAATAGAAATCCACCCAGTTCTAGAATTATAGATTGAGTTTTGGAAGATGGTTTGATCTCGTAATCTTTTTTACTGGTCCTCTCTTGGCATTCATTGTCTTCCGATTAACTGGATTATATCTTCCCCTGAAATAAAAGAAGTGTTAATCATTATTTTTTCAGTCATCATTGTGTACAACAAAAACATCATATGCTTATTGTACCATCCTAAACAGCCATATATTATACCATATTATCTCATTACAGATAGAGAGGAACCAACTCAAGGGCAGATAATCAAGAGGCCAGGAAGGAGTCCATGAAAGTGGCCTAATGTAAAAAGCTCTGACCAAAGAGGGATGAGATAGACCATTCTGATACTCCCTCTGGAAATATGAATTAAAGCTAAGAAAATAGAGAGAAGCCACAAAGCAGGGCAGAGAGAATAAAGAAATCAGGATCCATGAGTAAGCCAAAGTATGTTACCTAAAATTATAATAAAATTGAAACTAAGATATACCAAGGTCTGTGATATTAAAAAGATATAGAGAGTGATGATGGCAGTTGATGATGAGAAGAAAAGTGAAGTAGAGACTGAACTAGTTGAAGTAATAACAGCAACATTTTTAAAGCACATAATTTATGTCAGGAACTGTTCTAAATTCTATTTATTAACTGATTCATATCAACCTCACAAAATCCCTATGATGTACATACTATTATTAGCCCTGTTAAATAGATGAGGAAAAACAAGGTTATACAGTTAGTAAGTGGATCTAGAATTTGAATCCAGAACGGCTGAGTTCAAAGTCTATGCCTTTAACTACTTTTCTGTATGACAGACCACTAAAGTGAAGAACTATGAAGTTCTGCTCAGATTTTAAAGCTTCCTTGAACTCACTTTAATATCTGTGGGCTCAGTTATATTGGAATTCCTGTTCTTGGATTTCCATGGGACCATCTTTCCTTTATTGATTTACATATCTTTATAAAGCCAACTTCCCCACACTCTCACTTAAGAGTAGAGTCAGCTTCAATTCCCTGCAAGGTGCTTTTCAAAAATATTTTACTCAGGGAGTGGTGTCAGGAAAAATGACAGAACGATTTTAGAAAATTCTTTCCTCTATAAAAGCAATGGAAAAATTGGCAAAAATGGTCAGAAGCAACTTTTTCTGAGCTCTGGAAATTAACCAAGGACTTGAAGCAATCCTGGAGAATTTATTAAACACATCACACACCACACCCACAGCCCAACACACACAGAGCTGAAACTCAGCAAAAACACTGAACTTTGTAGCATTTTAACTTCCCCTAGCCCTCATTCCCCAGCTTTGTGGTATTCCTATGAAGAAGTTGAAAAACTGACCCTAAAATTCATATGGAAATTAAAGGGACTCTGAATAACCGTAACAATCTTGAAAAAGAAGAATTAGGGCACCTGAGTGCCTCACTCAGTTGAGGGGCTGCCTTCAGCTCAGGTCATGATCCCAGAGTCCTGGGATTGAGCCCAGCATAGGGCTCCCTGCTCAGTGGGGAGCCTGCTTCTCCCTCTCCCTCTGTCTCCTAGCTCATGCTCTTATTCTCTATCTCAAATAAATAAAATCTTAAAAAAAAAAAGAAGAAGAATTAAGTTGGAGTAATCACACTTGCTTATTTCAAAACTTGGTGAAAACCTAGTCATCAAGACAGCACGGCACTGGCATAAGGACAGACTTATAAATCAATGGAGTAGAACTGAGAGTCTAGAAATAAACTTGTATGTTTATGGTTGATTTTTTAAAAGGGTGCAAGGACAATCAAATGGAGAAGAATAGTCTTTAGAACAAATGGTGCTAGGACAATGGGATAGACACGTGCAAAAGACTGAAACTGGATCCCAGTCTCACACTATATACAAAAATTGACTCAAAAATGAATCAGTGGTGACATAACATAATAAAATAAAATTTAAAAAAATAAATAAAAGCAATCATAAAAAAAATGAATCAAAAAGGACCTAAAACTATAAAACTCTTAGAAGAAAACATATGTATAAATCTTTGTGCTCTTGGATTAGGCAAAAAATCCTAGGAAGCCAAGGTCAATTGGCCTTCATCCAAATCAAAACTTTTGTGCTTCAAAGGACATCATCAAGAAAGAAAAAATAACAACAACAAAGAATGTAGGAAAATATTTGCAAAACATGTATCTGATAAGGTCTAGTAACCAGAATATATAAAGTACCCTTATAACACAAGACAACAACCCAATTTAAAAACGGGCAGAAGGGGGTGCATAGGTGGCTCAGTAGGTTAAGTGTCTCTCTTCAGCTCAGGTCATGATCCTAGGGTCCTGGAATGGAGCCCTGCTTTGGGCTCCCTGCTCGGTGGGGAGACTGCTTCTCTCTCCTCTTCTGCCACTCCCCCTGCTTGTGCTTTCTCTCTCTCTCTCAAATACATAAATAAAATCTTTTAAAAAATGGGCAAATGACTTGAACAGACATTTCTCCAAAGAAGATATACAAATGGAAAGCAAGTACACAAAAAGATGCTTAACATCGTTAGTCTTTGGGGAAGTACAAATCAAAAGTACAATGAGATACCACTTCACAAGTACTGGGATGGCTAAAAAAAGGACAATAACAAATGTTGATAAAGATTTGGAGAAACTGGAACCCTCATACATTGCTAAAGGGAAAATAAAATGGTGCAGTCACTCTGGAAAATAGTTTGGCAGTTCCTTAAAAAGATAAAACAGTTATCAATTGACTCAGCAATTCCATTCCAAGGCATATATCCAAACAGAATTAAAAACATATATGCACAAAAACTTGTATAAGAATGTTCATAGCAGCATTATTCACAATGGTCAAAAGGCGTAAACAACCCAAATGTCCACCAACTGATTAATGGACAAACAAAATGTGACAGATCCAAGAACTGGAATATTATTCAGCCACAGAAAGTAATAAAGTACTGATATATGCTCCTACATGAACGAACCTTGAAAAATTATGCTAAGTGACAAAGTCAGGCACATAAGGCCACATATTATTTGTTTCCATTTATATGAAATAACAAGAATAAATAAATCTATAGAGACAGAAAGTAGATTAGCAATTGCCAGGGGCTAGGGGGAGGGAGGAATGGAGAGTGAATGCTAATGGATAAAGCGGTTTTGGAGGGAGATGAAAATGTTCTTTAAGCACATAGCGGTGATGGTTGTGCAACTTTGTGAATACACCAAAAAGCAATGAGTTTCGCTTTAAAAGGGTAAATTTTGGATAACCCAACATATAGAAGAATGAAACTAGACCACTTTCTTACACCATACACAAAAATAAATTCAAAATGGACGAAAGACCTAAATGTGAGATGGGAAAACAAATGGAAACACTAAAGCAATTAGACACAAGTATCCCATAAATAATTACCTTGACTTCCTATATACATCTAGTCCCAAATGATGTTATCAAGGTTTAGGTTTTTTCTATGTTTATTTAAAATCTTCATTGTTCTTCCCTTAGTAGAACCAATGGAACCTTATAAAAACAGTGCCATATCTTGAATGCCCTTTATGAGCTGGGTGCTTTATAAGTTGTGTTAAAAGTACACATATTCTTATAGAAAATACCAGAAAATATAAATTATCCATAATCTCACTATACTATTTTGTATTATAATTTTTAATTACTACTATAGGTAAAAATTTTCCTGTGTCAATTATATATTTTCCTAGAATATAATTTTTTGTAACTTTATATATAATATCATCATAGTTAACTGAATTATTCCCTTAATGTTGGATATTTTGGTTGTGTCTTCTCTACTCTAGCTGCTTTTCTTATCAAAAGGGGGTTCCCTAAACAATCTGTCTCTTAATGAGTCCCAGAATCAATTTCCCTCAGGTCCTGTGATTCTAGGGCACTAAGGGTTGTCTTATTTTCTTCTTTAGAGCTTTTAATCACTCTAGAACACTTCTAAGGAAAAAAAAAATGAGGATGTTCACACTAAAGGAAAAAAAAAATTATGGTTTTCTACGTTTAGGAACCACTGCTTGTGGTCTCAGCTTTTGAAGTCTTTGCTTGAAGGAATATGATATTTTATAGTTAATACATGCCATAATCATAGTCATAAGGTTACCTATTAACTTGGCAACTTCCAAACCTCATCCTAAGGAGATGATTTCTCCTATTTATCTTAAAGATGATTATCTCTTATTTATCCTTTTAAGATTTTATTTTTAGGTAATCTGTACACCCAATGTGGGGTTTGAACTTAAAACCCTGAGTTCAAGAGTTGCAAGCTCCAGTCACTGATCCAGCCATGTGCCCCATATTCTCTTTTCAAATAAGTATATGTAAGAATCTCTAGAATACATCTTTTAATAGCAGTATAGATATCTTGTTCATTTTGTGACTATGGTTTCACAAAGTAGGAATATATGCAATAGCTAATATTCAATATCCCTCTTTGAAAGATTTTTTTAATAGTATATCACAGTCAAATGGGTATTTTCTTTCTTTTTTCTTTCTTTCTTTCTTTTCTTTCTAAGAGAAGGAGAAAGAGCATGCATGTGAGCGGGGTGGGGGGAGGGGCGGAAGGAGAGGGAGAGAGAATTCTAAGCAGGCTCCATGCCCAGTGCATAGCCCGATGCAGGGCTTGATCTCATGACGGTGAGATCATGACCTGAGCTGAAATCTAGAGTAGGACACTCAACCAAATGAGCCACCCAGGTACCCCATGTGGGTATTTTCTAATGCTCTCATTTATTCCGAACATAGGAAAACTCCAGAAGTCAATATTTAACATTAGCATATGTAAGAATATCAACTAAAGCAAACATTAAATGCCACTAAAACTTGATTTCTAAAACATTGCTTTAAGTATACCACATATAGTAGAGTGCACAAAATAGAGATGTAAGATTTGCTTTATAATAAAGCAAATACTCATGTAACCACACCCAGGTCAACAAACAGAACATTGCCATCACATTGGAAGACCTTGTGCTCCTCCCAATTATCATTCCCCTTCTCCTTCCCATTGGTAACCACTATCCTGTCTTCTGACAACACAGTTTAGTTGTGCCTGTCTTTGAACATCATATAAATAGAATCATATTATATGTATTCTTTTATTTCTGGCCTCCTTTCCACAAAACTGTTATAATTATCCATGATGTTGTGTGAACTGTAGTTTGTTTTTATTGTTGTTATTATTCATATATATTTATAATATATTCATGTTACTATTCATAAATATATGAATATTTGTTTTTATATAAGAATATCATATATGTATGAATATATATCTCTCAAAAAATTTTATCTGATCTGCTACTGATAGATATTTGAATTCAGTTTATGGTTGTTATGAATAAAGCTGTTACGAACATTCTTGCACAGGTTTTCTTTGGTATAAATATATGCAACATTCTGTTAGGTATATAACTAAGAGTGCAACTGTTGGGTTATAGAGTAGGTATATGATCAGCTAAATGTAGGAAGTAATATTAAACACTATTCCAAAGTGGTTGCATAAATTTACAGTTCATATCTTTGACAACACTTGGAATCATCAATCTTTAAAATTTGTGGTGGCCTCTCATAATTTTAACTTGCATTCCACTGAATAAGTAATGGTGTTTGAGTCCATTGGCCATTTGGATATCCTCCTCTGTGAGGTACTTAACACTAAAACTTGGTTTAAAGACTAAAACTTGAATCAAAAAGTGTACTAAGTTCCAGAGTTGAGGCAATAACTCAGAACAACAATACTTTAAAGTAGACCAATTATATATACCTAATTTGGAAGGTTATAGGTATATAGAAATGTTTGTATTATTTGAGTTATTTGGTTTATTAATATTTCCAGAAAGTGGAGAGTTTTTTTTCCCATTTGTATGACCATTAATTCACTCATGCATTCATTAAAAAATTAGTAAACACCTATTTATTTATGCCAGGCACTGTATTCAACATTAGGCTCTACCAAAGATGGAAGTGACAGGCACTGTATTCAACATTAGGTTCTACCAAGGATGGAAGTGACATATCCAAGACCAAGATGTGCAGTGCCAGAGGGCACAGACAAGCTTACTGAGCAGGTGGATGATGTGGTCTGGGATACCTGCTCAGTAATCTTGTGATGCACTAGTACCTCCAGCTCAGTTCAGACCTACAGCATGGAGGGCCCTAAAGAGAAACTGATCATCAGGATGATATAGCAGGGGGCAAGGAAGAATGGGTTTGGCATCCAGGTCATCTACTTGAGTGTCTTTTAGTACCACCTTGCCCAATTTGACAGTTATGTGGATGAGAACCATTTATAACATGGCCTGGAAAGGATATGACAAACTGGGCTCTGATTCTCAGGGTAGGTCACCCCATCAGAGGAAGAGAAAGTCCATACTTCATTCACTGATGAATCAGCTTGAAACATGAGATGGCAGCTGCACTGTAGCCCTATTCTCTCTGCCCAAATCTATTTCCTTCCCTTCTCCTCGAGGTACTCATTCTAAGAATGCTTAAGAGTAAACTTCCTACATGCTGATTTCCATTTCAGAGTCTGCTCCCGGAGAGATCCAACCTACAACAGCATCAGTGGAAAACTAAACTGCCCTAACAGACCTATAGTATAATAATATAGATGTGTATGTGTGTTAATACATGAGTAGAATGAGTTTTATTTGTATTTTCAAAATATTTCTCCATTATTTAAGCAAATTTGAATAAAAGAGGTATTTTCTAAAATATAATTGGAAGATAAATATAAAAATAAAAAAGAAATATTAATTGGAAGATAAATGGTAAAAATAAAAAAGAAATATGTAGGGTGACTGTGCAGAAAGAGTTACTGTAGCAAGCCTGAAACTAGAAAGGCCTTCTTTCAAGGTTGGCCCTTGGCTGGTGTCTGGGAACTTAGTGATAAAAAGTTCCCTACACTGATATAAAATTTTCCTTAAATGAAAAAGAATGGCTTACTGTACTTAAACTGTACAAACAATATGGTTTCTGTGAACATGTTTTCCTTCTGGAAGTCTGGAATTTGGTATGTGCTAAGCAAAGGGTAACTACACGATACCTACACGACTGGCCCCCGGTAAAAAACGTGGGTACTAAGTATCTAATGAATTTCCCTGGAAGATCAAATTTCATGTGTTGTCACACATTGTTCCACGACCTACTGCTGGAGGAGCAAAGTATGTCCTATGTGACTGCACTAGAGGACTTTTAGAAGCTTGTGCCTAGTTTCCTCCAAACTTCACCCCATACACCTTTTTCCTTTGATGATTTTTCTTTGTATCCTCTGGCTGTAATATATCCAAGCTGTATGCACAAATATATGCTGAGTCCTGTGTGTTGTTCTAGCAAATCACTGAACATGGGACTGGTCTTGGGGCGCCCCAGGACAGAGGTATAATAGTTTTCAGAGGGAAGTCATTTTCCAGAACTTAATGTTTTCACTATATTTCTATTGATATTAAATGTACAGGATAATAAGTTATAATTTAAAATATTTATGACTACTCAAGGAAGAACACACTTTTATCCATCTAGCCATATATTGGACAAAATGTTGCTATCCCATGAATCTCCACCAAAAACACTTGCTATATTGCATATACCTTTTATGCCTGTATTTGAAAATAATTCTGACTTATAGCTAATTTATATCCTGGTTTACTCTTTTGATATTGTTAAGTTATATATGAATATATTCACCTACATAGAAAAGGTTATATAAGACAAGGATTGCTTGGCTAATTATTCTGTACTTAGTATAGAACAGGAAAAATTATGTGTAGATATAACCTCCTAAACCCATAAAACATTCCTCTGTTCTTTATTCATCCTAAATTACTTTTGTTTGCATTGGAAAACACAGTTTTCCACTGGTGCTGCACTGTCTTCTACACTAATTTCAGTGTCTATATTTCGTCTGTAAAAAAGTTAAGGCTGGTAATTTAATTGTATTTATATTGTTAATGGTGTAGATTTAGGCTCCTCTTGGGTAGCGTATTGTTTTAGCTTAGAAAATAAGAACTTACCTTGTTGGAAGACAAAACATATTCTTGGGATCTACAAAAGTGTATATAAATAGTGAATAGAGAGCATAAATTTCTTATAGTTCTTTTACCATCTGTCTTTTATTTTATATCATTGCTATAAAATCTAGAAGTTCAACTTCCAAAATATAATGGACACCTGTTTTGTCAGTATCATTCACATGCAAATATAATTAATTAGAAACGAAAGATATAGTTAGACTTACAGTTTCACTAGCTTCTCTTTCATTCTAGGCAGTTGATCCATCTGTTGTTGCCTTTTAGAAACTTGGTATGAGTCAGAGACCTGAAATACAAACATTTGAGCATTTGTCCTCTTATTTCATGACTGATTTTGGAGATAAGAGGAACAGTCCATTCTCAATTAACTCTTTTATAACCAGGCCCTTAAGTGGTATGCATAAGAGAAGATAAAGAATAATGGGAAATTATGGCCTTCTCTAGTATTAAGAGGTTTCTAAAGATTATGGAAACTCCTTTATCTCAACCCTACATTCCATGTGATTTTTAAAATAAATATAGAGGAAATTGTGAAAATCATATCATCTTTGTGGTATAAAGATCATTAAAAGTTTTCATAACAGACACTGAATATAAATAATACATACACTCTGCCATTAAGAAAGATATGACAATAGAAGTGGAAATGGAAAAACAAGATCATACTTTCATTTTTGTTTGTTTTGAGATACTTCTGTGATACAAAAGTAGAGACTTTCTGTAGGTGGTATAAATAAAATTCCCAGTACAGGAACAGTTGAGGCTGGTGACCTTAGAGATGGCATTGAAGACATGGGTAAATGAGATCATTCAGTAAGAACACAGAGAGAAGTAAGAGAGTTGATGATAAAAACTTGAGAAAGCAACTTTTAAGGGGTAGGAGAATTACTAAAGGCCATCCCTTAAAAAATAGGAAAACAGGAAAAAATACTGGCATGGAAGTCATGAGGTGGGTGATATTCAAAAAGTGAGCATAGTTAGCAATATGAAATGCCTCAGAGATGTCTACACTACCAGGAGGTTTGAAAAGAGGTCATTATGTTGAAAAGTAAACTGTGCCAGAGCCCAGTGCTGGGGGTCAGAAAGGAATTGAAAGAGGTCTAAGACTAAAAGCAAAGCAGTGAGTATATCCACCCTTGCACGAAGTTTGACTGAGAAAAGAAAAGCTAAGGTAGTAGTTTTATTAAGACAGGGTAAAATAGGGGCACCTGGGTGGCTCAGTCAGTTAAGCGGCTGCCTTCAGCTCAGGTCATGATCCTGGGGTCCTGAGATTGAGCCCCACGTCTGGCTCCCTGCTCAATGGAGAGCCTGCTTCTCCCTCTCCCTCTGCCTGCCACTCTGCCTACTTGTGCTCTCTCTCTCTCTGTCAAATAAATAAATAAAATCTTTAAAAACAAAAAAAATATGGGGTAAAATAAAAGTTGGTTTCTGTTTTATTTTGGTGGAAGAGATGAGCATCTTTGTGAAGATGTTAGATCATCTTTGCTAAGTGGGACAATTTTGGGCACATTGGACCAGATGGAATTCACTCATTTATTCACTCAGTAAATGCTATTGAGCAACCACTATGTGCCACCTCCAGTTTAGCACTGGGGCACAAAGATAAGTCACAGTTCTTACAATCTATTGGAGTATAATACATAGATTATACAATTCACTGCCTTGGCAGAGGTTTGCACAGGTGCTTTGTAAGCATAAGGCAGATGCTAGTTCAAGCCATAGGGGGCCTGGAAGAGTAGCCAATTAAGAGCTAAGGAAAGGACATTCCAGGCAGAAGGAGCAGGAAGGGCCTACCAGTATAAGACAGCATGACATATGCAGGGACCACATATATCTTTGGTCTGGCTGCAATACATGATGTAAGTAGGGACACAGCTGGAAAGGCAGGTATTGGAAAGGATCTTGTAGACTACACTGAGCTTTGCTGAAATCCTTTGGACAATGCAAAGTCACTGAAGGCTTTAAATAGGGAACATCACCAGAGCTCCTGGGTGGCTCAGTCAGTTAAGCGTCCAACTTTTGATTTCGGCTCAGGTACTGATCTCAGGGTCCTAGGATCCAGCCCCAAGTCGGGCTCCATGCTCGGCGGGGAGTTTGCTTGGGGATTCACTCCCTCTCTCTCTGCCCCTCCCCCCTCAAATAAATAAATAAATCTTTATTTTTTTTTAAGATTTTATTTTATTTATTTGTCAGAGAGAGAGAGAGCAAGCACAAGCAGGGGGAGCAGCAGAGGGAGAGGGAGAAGCAGACTCCCCGCTGAGCAAGGAGCCTGATGCGGAACTCAATCCCAGGACCCTGGGATCATGACCTGAGCCAAAGGCAGACGCTTAACTGACTGAGCCACCCAAGTGCCCCTAAATAAATCTTTTTAAAAAAGTAGGGAACAACACTGTATCTGTATTTCAGAATGATTGCTCAGGCAGCAGAGGAGAAAAAATTGAGCATGGTGGGGGCAAGATTTTAATCTTTATTTAATAAATAAATAAATAAATAAATAAATAAATAAATAAATAAATAAATAAATAAAATCTTTTAAAAAGAAAATAAAAATAAATCTGGGAGCTCTATTTTCAAATGAATAATAATAAAATAGAGTTGTCCAAAAAGACAACAGAAAGAGCTGGATAGTCTGGAATCTATGACATAAGGAACTGCTAGTGTAACTTTTGTGATAATTTAATATTTTAGCTTAGGGAAAAAAACTATGGAAACACTTAAGGGTTGTTTTCATATCTTTGAGAAGCTGTCACAGAGGAGACATATAGAATTGTCCTGTGTTCTTCAGTGGAAGAAACTAAAACCAATACGTTTTAAGGAAGGAGAATAAGGAGAATTACATGATGCTTTAACAATTCTAATAATTAGAATTGCCTGACAATGAAACAGAACAGCCTCAGGTTCATTATCTGTAAACCAAAGCATTATATTCAATAGTGTCTCAGATCTACTGCTAAAATTCCACATTTATGGAAACAGAGCTTAAGTTTATTATGTGTTACAAGTTCTAGTCAGACTTTCTGCCTGACTTTTCTTTTTTTTTTTTGTAACAATGTTTTATTAAGAGTGGGACATCAGGGACCATATATAACTAACAAAAACCTTTAAATTTTCTTATTGCCTTTATATAACAATCAATGCATATTTAAGTAAAACCGAACTTCTTACTAGGCAAATATTTTTGCATACGCTGCCTTCTCTTTATCTTTTTGTGCTTTTATCTTTTGTTTGACTTTCAGCAATTCTGCCTGGATAGCTTTATCTTCCGGTGCTATCTCCTGAGCTTTCTTAAGATCAGCCAATGCTTGATCGTATTCTTTTAATCCTTGCCATCCTTGAGCTCTACGGTACAATGCTTTGGTATTGGATGGGTCTATTCCAAGAGCCTCCAAACAACTGTCGATTGCTCCCTGCCAATTTGACATCTTCAGTTTACAAGCACCAATATTCACCACGCAGCTTAAAACTATAGGTTGCAGCTTCGATCTATCTGCTTGCTCAATAGTAGCTTTTGAACCTTCCACATATCTTAAAACTTTTGTATATTTTTTAATGGCCATCTCCCAGTTCTGAGATCTGAAAAAAATATTTCCAATATTTTTTACATCTTCTGTTATTAGTAAAATTTTATTTACATCTTTTAAATCTATATCTGCATCCTCACGGAAGTCTGGGTGACTGTCACCAGAGCCATCTTTTGGGAATATGCCCCAATCATCCCCTTCCTTCAATTCTCCGCATTCTGCAATAACACACAATTTGGCAGGTTTTTCACCTTTCACTTCTACATTTTCCAGTATCCTTGCCACACCCATTCCTTTAATTACTTGGCCAAATACCACATGTTTCCCATCCAAGTGAGGAGTCGGGACTGTTGTGATAAAGAATTGAGAACCATTTGTATTGCAGCCTGCATTTGCCATGCTCAATAAACCTTCCTGATCATGCTTATAATCGCAATTTTTATCGTCAAATTTTTCACCATAAATACTTTTTCCACCTGTCCCATTTTGATTTGAGAAGTATCCACCATGAATCATAAATTTCTTTTTTTTTTTTTTAAAGATTTTATTTATTTATTTGACAGAGAGAGACACAGCGAGAGAGGGAACACAAATGGGGAGTGGGAGAGGGAGAAGCAGGCTTCCTGCGGAGCAGGGAGCCCGATGCGGGGCTCGATCCCAGGACCCTGGGATCATGACCTGAGCCGAAGGCAGACGCTTAACTGGCTGAGCCACCCAGGCGACCCTGAATCATAAATTTCTTAATAATTTGATGGAAAGGGCATCCTTTGAAATGGAGAGGTTTCCCAGTGGTGGGTCCAATGCCTTTTTCTCCTGTATACAATACACGAAAATTTTCTGCAGTTTTGGGTACAATATCTGCAAACAATTCTAAGACAATTCAACCAACTCAATCCCCTCCGACAAATAAGACTCTGGGGTTACTGGGGTTGGAGAGCTTAGTTTGAGCAGATGGGTGCGACATTTTGAATTGCAGATGCACTTGGGAGCAAACTCAGAGAACCTCGTGGATGACCGGCAGCTCAACCCAAAAGCGGTTTTCTCCTCTGCCTGACTTTTAAGTAATGCAACAAACCTATATATTCTTACAACTCAATGTCCATACTGTACACATATTGCATAAATTAGAAAAATCCTGAGATATGGAAACTCACAGTTTCATTCAAAACAGTGAAGATAGCAGAAGTATAAACAGCAGCCTCAGCAAATAGCTCTAGTTATCTACCTAAGAATCAATTATTTATGTATTCAGCATGGAAGAACTGCAGATCATCTGCTGACCTTTCCCATCACCCTAATATCCACATGGTCAGAACCATCTTTGACTATAAAGATTAACAATTCATTCTAGAGTGAAAATCCTTATTAACATTTATACTGGGGAACAGGATTAACATCTTCCTGGGAAGCTGTTAAAATAGGCTTTGATTGTATGTTCAGTGATCCTGTATAATCAGAGTAGAACCTATTTCACCTTAGTGAATTTTTCAGATAAACAAATAAAGCTAAAGGAGGAAGGCTGAGGCAAGTAGAAATTCTAATGCCCCTGTGACAGAGAGAGAGGCTAGGGAGATCAGGAAAGAAAACAGGAAAATAATGTTCACCACTTACTAGAATTTAGAACATATTATGGGCCAGGCATTTTACTCAGCACTTTATATACCTTTCATCTCTAAACACTCACAAATCCCCTGCAACACAGTACTATTATTTCCCGTTCTACCAAGAAGGAAAGAAATTAGGCCCCAAAAGTTCACACCACAATTAGGTACCAAGCTGGGATTTAAATCCAAATTTAAATGACTCCAAAACCTGTGGTCTTTCCTCAAATCATGGTCTTATAAAGCAGTTAGCATTTATGCTAGAACTTGAAGGAAGCAGAATTGGCACATATGAAAAGCAGCATATTCCAGGTGGAGTCATGGTCTAAGGAAAGGCATGAGGGTGCCTGCCTCAGTTGGCAGTGATGCCAACTGAGTATCCAGGACCATCAAGTGTGAACTGACTGTTTAATGGGTAAGAGACTACAGGAGTGATTCTATTTTTTTTTTTTTTTAAGATTTTATTTATTTATTTGACAGAGAGAGACACAGAGAGGGAACACAAGCAGGCTCCGGGAGAGGGAGAAGCAGGCTTCCTGCTGAGCAGGGAGCCCAATGCGGGGCTTGATCCCAGGACCCTGGGATCATGACCCGAGCCAAGGGCAGATGCTTAATGAGTGAGCCACCCAGGCGCCCCAGGAGCGATTCTATTTTGTCTCAATTTCCTAACTGAATCTTAGTCACTACTAGAAAAAAAAAAAAAAAGAAGTCTAAGCCTCCCTTTACCCACCACTGCCCTGACTTTCATTCCAAAATTGTTCTATACATTCCCTTATCAGCTCCAAGCCCCAATCCTAACTCCCTTCCTCTCCATCCTTTCATGGTTCTCTGAGTTTGCTCCCTTTCATTGATCCTCTGGAAATACCAGATCAGTGATTAGCAGACTATCTTTATGGCAAACCCAGCCCTCAAGGTCCTCTACTTCCTTGCCTCACCTAGTTAATGTCCTGAAGACTCCAACCTACCTCTTGGCCCTTCCTCCCCTGACCATCCCTTTGAAACTCTTCAGAGCTATATTCTAAACTATCTTTTCTTTTCACCCTGTATACTCTCCCTGATGCATTTCATTCATTCATATGGCTTCATTTACTATCTATGCTAATAATTTCCATGTCTATATCTCCAATTTTTATCTTTTCTACCCTGAGATTCATATATCCAACTGCTCTTTGGACACTTCCATTTAGATAATGTGCATTGAAAACTAAACTCATATCCTGATTTTAAAACATATATCAAAATAAAGCTAACAAGGATTAAATATTTAAATGTAAAACATTTAGCCAAGTACTAAAAAAAAATGTGATAAATGTTATGAAACATTGAGATGAAGACTTTTAAACTATGACATCAGAAGCCATAAATAAAAATTGGCTCTGACAACATCAAAATAAAAACTCAGTAATACTAACATCATCAAAAATAAAACTGAAAAGCAAATGAAAAACTATGGAAAATATGTGCAACATCATTCATAATTTACTGATCACTTTCCTGTCCTATCATTTGTGTGTACACACTTTCCTATCTTGTATTGTAAGTACACCCTTTCTAGTAATAGTGCAGTATCTTAGGCCTCACTATGAATAATTATGACATAATATGTCATGAATTTCATGATAACAGAGGGATAACTGCTTATTTGCTTGAATTCTAGAAATTATAGATCAAACTAAAAGGATAACTAAGGAAGCAAATATGCAAAATATTCCCTTAATCTGGGAAACTTTTATCTCCTTGTTACCTTTTTATAAAACCTATAAATTTTCCTTTTCACCTTCCATATTTAGAAACTTGGTACATTTTCTCCCATAATTCCAACATATGTTTGTTTATCAAACCAAACCAATCAAAAGCCTAGAAAAGTGAAAAATGTAATTTACAGTAAGAGGAAACTCTTAAAATTTGGAAGTAAGACAACAAAAGTTACCTGAGACATTTCAGCTAGGTATCTACGGCGCTCATTGTTGGTCTTGTGGTAAGCCTAGAGGAAAAATACATAAGTAAAGAATCCAGGGCACCTTGGTGGCTAGTTGGTTAAGCGACTGCCTTCAGCTCAGGTCATGATCCTGGAGTCCCAGGATCGAGTCCCGCATCGGGCTCCCTGCTCAGCAGGGAGTCTGCTTCTCCCTCTGACCCTCCCCCCTCTCATGTGCTCTCTCTCTCTCATTCTCTCTCTCAAATAAATAAATAAAATCTTAAAAAAAAAAAAAAGAATCCAACATCAGAGAGGATTTGCAATATTAGCAAGACTATTACTAAGTCAAGTTTATGCCTATGCTGTTTTTTAAAATAGTGTAGGAAATAGTTTTTTAAGTATTTTGTGATAACAATATAGTAGGTTTGTAGATAACATACTAAAAATAATGGCAGTTACAAAGAAATGTCTAGTACAGAATAAAAACAAACCTTTGATTCTTGTTCCAGTCTCAGTGCACAGTCTTTCACTTGATTTTCAAGGCTTCTTTTCTCTTTTCCTAGCTGTTTAAGTAATGTATTTAAGTATTCCTGAAAGTATAAATAGTAAATTTTTACATGTACTCATGTTCTAAATAACAGTAAGAAATTTCTTCACTGGCAAATGCCTACCTCATAACATTCTGTGACTTCAAATTCTATAATATGTACCTTTTAAGTAATAGCAATAATAATAATTACAATATTTATTTAACCCTAACAGTATTCCAAGTCTGTACTTGTGCTAAGTGCTTTCCATAGACTATTTCATTTAATCCTTATAAAAGCCAGGAAGATGGCTAATATATTTATTTCCATTTTACTGTTGAGAAAATTGCATCTGCTGGATGTTAAGTAAGTGGTCCAAAGACACACAGCTAATAAATGGTAGAGCTGGAATTAGAAGCCAGGTAGTTTGGGGTGCCTGGCTGGCTCAGTCAGTGGAGCATGAGACTCTTGATCTCAAGCCCCATGTTGGATGTAGAGATTACTTAAAAATAAAATCTAAAAAAAAAAAAGAACCCAGGTAATCTGACTCCAAAGGCCACACATGCTAAACAATATTATTATATATTTTTCATATGACTGATTCCAGTATAATAATAGTACAGTAGAAGAACAGACAATAAAGTTGATGACCAGGAGAATTGAGAAAATATTGCAGGGTAGGACAGTTCTGGAAACTAAGACCTCAAGCCAAATACCATTCATCACAAATAGCTGGAGCTGAGTAGAGGTTTAGCCAAATGCCAGAGCAATACTGCATTACAGCAATTTAGTTTAAAAATTTAATCCTTAAACCAATAGCTAGTTATTTGCAGTAACTCCAATTATTTCTCATATTCTTACACATTACCACATTAACATTAAAAAATCTCTAAACTGAATTCTACATAACCCTTGTTGGTCATGATTTAGGTCACTTAAGTTATTAAAAGAAACATTTAAAGAAAAAGAGAAGCAGCTGATTTAAATCTTCACAAAGCAAAACTGCAAGATATTTTAGAGCTCATACCCTCCTCCTGAAAAACAGCTAATTCTCTAAAAACTTATTTTCTCTCCTAGATACTTGTTCACACTTATTAGAATATAAAAAATTGTATCAACAGAATAATTAGGTCAGCTGAAACAAGGCAAGTTCTTGTCTCTAAAAATAACACCAGTGATAATACAAATCTCTTGGTTATGACAATTCTCCACTATGCATATTTGGTTACCATTAAAACATAACTGGGTGATATTTCGCAGGCAGGCTTTATTTGTCTTTGAAAACCATGCACTGGTGTCATAAATGGCCTGCAGTCCCCCTCCCCCAAATACAAACTTGCTCCAGAAGAAAGTCCATGAAAGCCCCACAAATTTAAGAGGTTAAACTGAGTTATCTTATAGAAAATTAAACCCTTATGAAATAAACCACTGCTCAAGTATGAAGAGTTTTTGAAGAAATAATCAAGGAGTGATGGAAGTAGTTCAAAATTTTGCTGTATAGACCCTTGCTAGGAGAATTCCAAGCTTAGTCCACCATAGTAACATGGTTTAGTTACATCATTTCTTAAATACATTTTTATAAATGTAAAAGAGAATCTAACTCTTTTTAATATTGTTTCAATGGGAAAATGCACTCTAAGTTCTAAAAGAAATTAGCTTATCAATAAACTACAGGAATATAAATTATTTTTATATTAAAGATGACCTGAATGAGATATGACCCAAAACTCTAGAAATTCATACAAGAAACATACATATGAAATAGGTAAAATTCAAGGCAATACATGACTAAATGCCAATATGTGAAACACAGACAATAAATGCTCACAAGTTTTTGAAAGAGGCTGATCAACATGGGCTAGAGCACTCAGGATCCCCCAAAGAGGAAGGATCTGAATGGGCAAAAAAGAGGGAGAAGGGGAGCTATATACTGATCAAAGACTTGAGTCAAATGATTACTTAGTGGTAATGATAGAGCTAAAGCAAGATATCTGAGCAATAAATAAGAGATAAGGTAAGATAAATAAGGAAGGACCTGGTTATAGAAGACTTAGACTGCCAGGCTCAGGAAGCTAAACCCTGGGAGCTATCGGAAATTATTAAACAAGTGGCATGATGAGAGCAGGGGGTTAGGAATACTAATTAAGTGGCAATTTCTATGACAAAGGATGTTTTATGTTATTTATTGATGTGGATTTGCAGTTCTGAGCTTTGCAGCTTAAATTTATTTATTTACTTACTTATTTTTATTATTTATTTATTTATTGAGAGCGTGAACTGGTTGGGGTGGGCAGGGTGCGGTGGGGGAGTGGGAAGGGCAGAGGGAGAGGGAGAGAATCTGAAGCCAACTCAGCGCTGAGCGCAGAGCTTGATATGGGGCACCACCATCTCACAACCCTGAGATCTTGACCTGAGCTGAAATCAAGTCAGACGCCCAATCGACTGAGCCACCCAGGCACCCCTAAAGCTTAAATATTCTTTGTGTTAGACTGTATCTCGCTACTATTCCTATCCTGACTAAATTCCTTGTCTTATCACCTAATTTTACAATTCATTCATTTATTCAAAATATATTCATCAAGCAGCTCCTATGTGCCAGACATTGTGCTAAGGATACCACAGTGAGAATTATAAACACAGACCCTGTCCTCATGGAGCTGAGAGTCTTATATGGTTTACCTTGGTGAATGTGACAGGTAAGCTTGAGAAGAATCTGTATTCTGTCATTGGATGGAATATTCTATAAAGGTCAATTGATTGAGTTGACTGACATTGCTGTTCAGGTCAACTATGTCTTTATTGACTTTTCTCCATTTTTGATCTATCAGTTACTGACAGGGTGGCTGCTGAAGTCTTCAACTTTAATAGTGGATTTGCCTATTTTTCCTCCATTAATTCATCAAAATCACTATTTAAGTGTTCCTACCAGTTTATGTTTCTAGCAGCTTCGGTTCCAGATAAGCAGATATTAGTGACTACCTGGATTTGTCTGTTTTATATAGATTTCAGGATGGGAGTTTGCCCTGAAAACTCAGTTCACTGAGTGATTGAGTTTCAGATTATTCACCTTTTTCTTGTTGTAATGATAGCACTATGCATATTGAGCCAAAACCAGAAGTCGAAAACTGTTCTTGATCCTCTTTTCTAATTGGCACAAAAAGAATGCGTTCTCCAAGTCAGTGGTTGCATATCCTACACCTGAAGACTTATTAGTCTGCTTTAGCAGTGACACCATATCCGGCAAAGCAGCTGCACTTGGGGCTAATAATTGGTTAAGCCTGCAGTGGCTTACAGTCTTCCTCTACAATACATCCAAACTGGCCATTTAAACAGAGTAATGACAGGCACTAAGACCCTTGCATCTCTTAGGTTTTTATTTGTGGCACTAATCTCTGCTGTCTTCCCTGGGTTAAGAAATTGCTTTTGCTTTACAATTTTGGCCTTGGGTGGGAGAGGGACAGTTCTAAAGTTTCCAATCGGTTTTTCCCATCATGATAGTTTTTACTTCAGAGATGAAGGCCCAGTGTGGGGGTTAACTTCAACTGCCAAGTATAAGTTCAATTACGTACTCAGGGACTGAGAAAATGATCACTGTGAGGGTAGGGGACTCTATGGGCACATATGATTTGGACGGTGGGCACAGATTCCTATTTGGGGAATCAATGTCAACTCAGACCTCAAAATGTCTGGTTGTTTCCTTTCCCACAGTGCACAGTCATCCACATAAGTGGTCAGAGGCCCTTCTGGAGGAAGACTGGTGATATGGTCATGATACATACATGGACTGATATAGGGTCCTTTCTCCCAGGAACCCAGCTACCTCTTTGGTCAATGATTTCTAGACCCTGGGATCATGACCTGAGCCGAAGGCAGACGCTTAGTGACTGAGCCACTCAGGTACTCCTGAACAAGTAGAATTTGAAATTAAAAAACACAATATCATTTACATTAGCACCCCCCAAAATGAAATACTTAGGTATAAATCTAACAAGATTATGTGTAAGATCTGGATAAGGATAACTACAAAACTATGATGAACAAAATCAAAGAACTAAATAAATGGAAAAAATACTCCATGTTCATGGATAGGAAGACTCAATATTGTCAAGATGTCAGCTCTTCCCAACATAATCTATAGATTCAATGCAATCTCAATCAAAATTCCAACATGTTATTTTATGGATACTGATGAACTGATTCTAAAGTTTATAGAAGAAGCAAAAGGCTCAAACAGCCAATATGACTTTGAGCAAGAAGAACAGGGGCACCTAGGTGACTCAGTCGGTTAAGCGGCTGCCTTCAGCTCAGGTCATGATCTCAGCATCCTGGGATCAAGCCCAGTGTTGGGCTCCCTGCTCAGTGGGGAGTCTGCTTCTCCCTCTCCCTTTGCCCCTCCCCCCAGCTCATGCACGCACGCTCTCTTTCTCCCTTGCTTGCTCTCACTCTATCTCAAATAAATAAATAAAATCTTAAAAAAGAAAAAGAAGAACAAAATTGGAGGACTGATGTTTACCAACTTCAAGACTTATCAAAAAGCTACAGTAATCAAGATTGGTATTAACAAAAGGATAGATATATAAATAGGACAGAATAGAAAGCCCAGAAATAGACCACCCAGAACAAATAGATCCTTTTTCAACTGATCTTTGACAAAGGAACAAAGGCAATGCCATGGAGCAAAGACAGTTTCTTCAACAAATGGTGCCAGAACAACTGGATATCCACATGCAAAGAAACGAATCTAGACTATACCCTTCACAAAAATTAACCCAAAGTGGATAACAGGGATAAATGTAAAATGCAAAACTAGGGGCGCCTGGGTGGCTCAGTCGGTTAAGCCTTGGCCTTCGGCTCAGGTCATGATCCCAGGGTCCTAGGATCAAGCCCAGCATTCGGTTCCCTGCTCCGTGGGGAGCCTACTTCTCCCACTCCCTCTGCCCCTGCCCCCGCTCATGCTCTCTTTCCCTCTCAAATAAATAAATAAATAAAATCTTTAAAAAAAATAAAATAAAATGCAAAAATATATACCTCCTGGAAGATGACATAAGAGAAAACTTAGATGA